CTCATGGCTGGGTCAATGGTCACCTGCATCCTCTTTAAAGATTTCTTGTGGGATGGGGAAAAAAAAAAAAAAAAAAAAACTAGTGGGAGGGTAACGCCGCTACCTAAAGGTCAAGACTGATGTCCCAGACACCTTTTTGATGCCATTTCTCTCTCATGCCCAATTGGACGGAAAGAAAAATCTGTACGACTGTACTTGAACAGGTCAGTTCCTAACTATCCTCAGGTGTTGCACTCTTTTTTTTTTCTTTTTTTCTTTTTTTTTCTTTTTTGAACCATTTCTCGATTTATGTGTGTCATCCTTGCACAGGGGCCATGCTAATCTTCTCTGTATTGTTCCAATTTAAACGGATGTCCCAAAGGACGGGTGTTGTACTCTTTCTGTATGTACAAAAACAGCAAAAAAAAGACAAAAAAAAGGGAAACTGCCACTGGTACGGTGCACGAGAAGGTGCCGCGCTGCACGCCATGCGACGCACCAGATGGTACAGCGCATGGTGCGGTTGAGAGTATGGTAACTGTAAATGTAATCAACAGATCATGAGTTCGATCTTTAGATTGTGATGGATACAATATAGTTTAAGGATACTCCCTCGATAAAAGAATCAAACAGATTAAACCACCGGTACATTACTACATTTCCCAGCCATTTTGCAGAAACGCGCCGTGCATGCAGGCGCGTCGGGCGGGGTGTACCGGGGTGCCATTTCGCCCAAAATCCATCCAGGAAAAACAGGTCGCATGCCAGGCCCAATTTGCCTGGATGGATTTCGGGCGAAACGGCACCCCAGTACATCCCGCCCAATGCGCCTGCATGCACCGCGCGTTTCTGCAACATGGCTGGGAAACGTACTGGTGGTTTAGATTGCCACTTCACGAGCAAAAGTTGGCGAAGCTACCTTCCAAGGCTCGCAAGACCCTGCAACTGCGCCTTTTCAAAGTGGTGCAGTCTTACAGCCAACTCCGCTTCTGCTACCAGCCCAGGTCCGAAGCAGAACAGTTCTTACAGTGTATTCCAGCAAGGCCACAACTTTGGCCCGAGTGAACTACCGGTAGTGGTTTAAAATAATGACGAAAAAAAAACCGCGTCCACGTGACCATCAACAAATGGCAAACACCTTCCCCGCTCTAATCAACAAGTCCAACAAGTTGAGAGGCTCAAGGCCTCGATATGCCCTACTGGGCCCTATTTTCTGTACAGTCGGCCGTCCTAAGTGAAGGCAGGCTTGACTAAGGCCTACAGGCCCATTTTGGGGTCAACACGCAACTGGGGAAATTCAGGCAGTTGCGCAGCACCAGTTGGTTGAGAGTGCCCAGGCCCAGGCTGCCTCTTTCGAATGTAACTGAGGCAGGCCCTGGGCCAGATTCGCAACATGGACCGAACACAGGCCGCGGGCAGTTAGACACGGGCAACTGTCATAGGCCCAGGGTCTGATTCGTTTGGACTGGGGTTCAGCCTCTCTGGGCCCACTGGAAGCTTCTGGGCAGGGGCCCAGCACAGCCAGGCTGCACGCAAGGCAGGCAAGCCACTTCCATTTAGGAAAGTGCCTGCCCACACATTCAGCATTCGGGCACTGGCTGCATGTTGTGCAAGCGCTGCTGCGCTAATGCTGGCCAGCGCTCACGCGCTCACAGGCGAGCTGGAAGGAGCAGGCAGCCATAGCCTAGCTGCGCTGCTGTATGCTGGATGGGGCGCATGGTGGTTCTTGAGATCTGCTCGTACTTTGGGGAGGTGTTGACGTCATCAGCGTCATTGTAGATAGGCTAGATAGGATCTGCCATCTGTAGTCTGGGCGCCGGACATTGGTTCTTCGTTGATGATGATGAGACTGTTCCAGCATTGTCAATTATGAGCTTTTGCTGTCCTCTTATTTGGTGAAAACTCGTGATGCAATTCTGCTATTGGTTCGCGGTCACGACTATCTGGTCTCATGTGTATGATGCCGTTTGATTTCTGAAGTTCGCTATCGCTCATTTTCCTTGCAAAGTGAAAAAAAAAAAGAACACACAATCTGTTTGCTGTCAAAAAATTGCTGATGAGCTTTTTCTTATCTTTTTTTCTTTAGAGTTGACATTGCGCTCGGCCGCTCTCTATTTAGGAAGCTTTAAAGATGCCTTCATAAGAAGCTAACATGCTGTAAAAGAACTGCTCCACGGGAGAATGCCGAAATATACCCAGGGTAAGAAACACACACACTGGGGTTGACTGGGGTTTCTTTCCTCTTTCTTTTTTTTTCTTTTTCTTTTTTTGGGGGGGGGGCAAGTACATTGGAGCCACACCCAACGTTTAGAATAGGCAACATTTTTGCAGTTCCCAAAATGGAGCAAAAAAAGCAACGCCGGCTTTGTCTTTTCTTGCCGATTTCAAACTAAAAGTGTGTCACAGCCACAGTTTCCCCTTCTTTTTTGTTTTGGATCCTTCCTTAAAAATAAGCTCCATTGATTCCAATGAATCCAACCTATATTCATGGGAAGCGCACATGCTGAGAAACGGCGCCTCTATTTTTCAACCTGTGCAATGGCAAGCGACACGCACACACTGCCTAAGTGAACCATACCCTCGGGCTCACAATAAATTTGTGCTTCTCAAACAAAAACAAACAGAACTAAAAAATATAAAACCTACCCTCAGGCCGCTTTCCCATTCATTCCCATTCTGTGTTTCTTCTAACCGCTGTTCCCTGTACTCTACGGTCCAGATCGAAGAATACAGGTAAGTGGGACTTCATGGGACCTCGCCGCCCAAACTTTCCCCTTTCCCCTGAGATACACCCAGCGGCCAACCCCCATTCAACCACCTACCCCTACCAACCACACACACTCATGAATGTACCTGGCTGCCTCCATCATGCAAATGCTGAAAGCCTGCGTATATCTTGCTCATTTTCCACTGTTCTCATTTCTGATATTCTGTGTCTTCGGGGAGAAGAGGGAAAGAGCTAGAAGGGGGGTCAAGTCCCACCGCCTTCATGTGACTGACCTGCAGAACCAGTGAACCCTGTGATGAAAGCCCTCCTCTCATCTCTAGCCGCAACATATTCACTCTGTATCACGACGGTCGTAAACAGTGTACACAAGAGAGAAAGAGAGAGAGAGAGAGAGAGAGAGAGAGAGAGAGAGAGAGAGTTGAGCACAGAGAGAGCCAGAGAGACATCATTGAGCAAAGGAAGCGAAAGACAGTGTCGAGTAAAAAGAGTGGGGAAGAGAGAGAGAGAGAGAGAGAGAGAGAGAGAGAGAGAGAGAGAGAGAGAGAGAGCAGAACATAAACCATAACGAGCAAAAGGGCCAAAACAAATCAGTGCTCAAAGATTAGAAGCAATCATAATTTGGAAAGAGACCCTTCCAGTCTGATGAGCTATTAATTAGGAAAAGGGAAAACGAAACAAAAAACAGAAAATCACTGTTATGTAGGTTGAAAGCAAGAAAACGTAAAGAACGTAAACATTTTGTTTGACTGCGTGCAAATGCATACTCACCCAAGGACGTCTCTGCGATGTCATTGGACTCATTTACAACCAGATTCGGTCTAGGAAGTCCGCGTCACGGAGTAATGCCCTGAGATGAACTCATTTGCTTGGCTGAGGGCATACTCACACTATAGTTTCCTAAATCTATCTATCTGACAAGCGAAAAGATTCCTCATCAAACATCCCGGATTCTGTCAGCTACCTGTCTGCCACGTGACAATCCATCTGCCACTTATGAGACGGAGACAAACTAGTAAATACTCATCTATGCCTCGTCAGCAGAGGTCTCAGTCAATAGGTCAACTCAGTGTCAATTCCTCTACTTGACTGATTGATTAATTGATAGTATTTTTGATACTTATTAATTAACTTAATTAACTTATTGATTAATTAATTGATTGGATACAAAGGCATGTAGAGCTGTAATAAACACCTATACCTATACCTATACCTATATATATAAATAGAAGAATGACTAGATACGTTCATAGTTCCAGCTCACGGTGCAGGGAAAACTATACGACAAATGAAACCCCATGCAATTGGTACAAGAACACGAGACGACAGGTATAACATGCCTACAGGCTGGAAAAAAAGTCTGGTTAGTGTAAATCTGATCTATAAGGTCAAATAATGTGAAAAAAAAAAAAAAAAAAAAAAAGCAAATAGAACACGCTGTCATTTGACCCGCCACCTCTTCTGGGGCGTTCGGGGGAAGGGGGGGTGAGAAAAGGGGGGGGAGCAAAGGCACGGGGGTTAAACGGGAAACGACAAGATTATTCAAAGAAAAAACAAGAACAACCAATCTATGACACCGACAGAAAGTTTGAAAACAAAGGGGACAGGAAAAGAAAGAGCGAACCAATCCGGGGTAAAAATGAAAAAAGAACAAATCTGAAAAACTAAGAGTGAATCAGAGAAGATTCGCATGGCCCTTGCACAAGGATGACACGCGTTTTCGAAATTTACTAGTTTTTTGAAATGGTTCGGGGGAAAAAAACAAAACTAATAAATTTCAAAAACGTGTGAGCCAATCGATAAAAAATATGAAGCAGAGTGTTCAACGCACAGATAAACATAGTATTTGAACTAACAGCATGGTCCAAAAAACAGGGGGGGGGGGGGGGAACATTTATTCATGATTCTGAATTACTATGTCCTAAAAACAAGGGGGGGGAAACAACAATGGTGGCGGTAGGGATAGGAAATTTGAAAGGGGGGGAGGGGGAAAGAACCGGGGTTGCCCCTACCGTCTTCCCCCGAACACAACGCACCCTCATTTGGGCTGCATCAGACCGCAAAAATAGGTTGTATACACTCGGTATCAGGGTGCGTTGTGTTCGGGATCATTTCTCAAGGAAAGTGGTAGAGTTATAGAGACGACAGTTCTTTTTTTTTTTTTTCCCCTGAGAGAGATCACAGTTCGAAAGGAAATTTCGTTTTTCCAAAAAGGGGGAAAAGGATGAAAGTTCAGAAGGAAATTTTGTTTTCAAAAAAAAAAAAAAAAAAAAAAAAAAAAAAAGACGAGATCGCTTAGAATCGAATGGCAAGGAAAACATATTACTATGCCCGCCGCCGCTACATATATAAATATATATATATATCGTAATATATATTGCCACCAACAATACGATTGACGTCCAACGAACGGCCAATGTGAACCACTGGCATCAAAGGGAGAAAACGACAAACAGCAAAAATTTGTGACAGATAACGTATCATCGAATTTCAACCACCGACTCATCAGGAAGCAGAACGCTCAAGGGGCGGAATTACTCCCAAGTCCCGATCCCAACTAAGGTTGGGTTCCAGGCCTTCATCCACGAACGACAGACCCTGACTCACAGGGATCAGGTGGTTAAGTCGGGACCAAATGCCCAATGATCTTTTATCCTCTCTTCCTCTTTTCTCGAACCCCTCTAAATCGACTAGCGCCTCCTTCTCCTCCTCTCCTCTCCACCAGCTCCACCTCCTCCTCCCCCCCCCCCTTCCTCCTCCTCCTCCTCCTCCTCCTCCTCCTCCTCGTCCTCATGGGTCATAACGTCAAACATACCTGGATACTCTATAGCTTTTGCGTTCTATTTACACTTCTGAGGTCCCTGTCGACCACTACGCGCTGCATCGCGCTTGGGATGTATGCACAAAACTTTCTTATCGAACTTGTCGCTACATTACCGCAAAGAGAGGAACAAAAAAGACGAAAAGGAGTCGCTTTCCTCTGCTTCCCGTCGTCGGATCCAACGATGCAAATAGTAAATAACATATCAGGGACACGGCACAAATGTCTCTCCCCGGGTGGATATGCACGCGTTCGAATGTACCTCCATGCGAAGTATATATGCGCGCGCCCGTACACAAGATGGAGATACGCGCGCGCACAAACACACACGCGTTCGTATGTACCTCCATGTCAGGTATATATGCGCGCGTCCGTACACGAGACGGAGATACGCGCGCGCGCGCGCGCACACACACACACACACACACACACACACAGATACACACACACGCGCGCGCACACACACACACACACAGATAGCCTGTGTAGAGACATTTTCTGCCAATTTGGCTGAATCTCCTGACAATTTCTTCACAATGCTTCAGCCTGGAAAACTCCTCGCCACACACACACACACACACACAGACACAGGTAGCCTATGTATAGAGACATTTTCTGCCAATGAGGAACAAGAGGCAATAGCTCCTTACCTGATGGGCGTCTTCGGAAGGTACTACGTACGCTTGAAGAGCACCTCCACTTTGTGATTCCATCAGCCTTCGCAAACTGGAGAGCTTGTTGCCCATTTCTGCCATGGCAGGTATCAGTAAACACGAATCGGCTGATTGGTTTAATCAGTAAACCAACCAATGGACCAATCAAATTACCTATTTAAAAAATAAAAATAAAAACTGATCGATCAATCAAGCAATAAACTACCTGACTGATCGACCAATCAAGCAATCGTAAACAACCAGTCGGTTGTGTTTCAACCGCACTGATCGTCAATCAGTTACAGCTTAGCTTGTCAGAATCAAGTCAATCGAAATTCCTTCACTCAAATCTACAATCAACCAATCAATCAACCAACCAATCAATCAATCAATCAAACAAACAATCAAACAATCAAACAATCAATCAAACAATCAATCAACCAATCAATCCAACGATCAATCGATTCGCCACCTTCCGAACCAATCATTGATTGGCAAACAGGCTGGAACTATCATCGACCGCTCGATGAAGCGTTACAGGTTAATCAGTGCTGATGCGTCCAACCGCGGGGAGAGAGAGAGAGAGCGAGAGAGAGAGAGAGAGAGAGAGAGAGAGAGAGAGAGAGAGAGAGAGAGAGAGAGAGAGAGAGAGAGAGATTGCCACGTGGTTGATCCGAGATGACCGTATCCTTCCTTCTCCAAATATAGATGTTCCGCTTTGGCGCGCAGCAGAAGTTTCTGTTAGCGTGCTAATGAATTTTCGTTTAACGACAAAATGCCGCCCAGAATATGATTTCCCCTACACTACCACTGTCTGAATTCACCTTTCCCTTCTCCTCATCTACCTCCCCTCTCCTCCTCCCTCACGGTCGACAACACAAAAGTGGCGAATAGAAAAGGACCACCGGTTGTAACGTCCTGTGGGCCTCGCCGCTCCACTACCGGTAGCCCGACGCGAAAAGGACAAAAAACTATGGCGCGTCGATCTTTCCTCGCCCTAAGGGAACATTCGCTGTCCATGTTTGACATTTCGGTGATGTTTTCACCTTCAACGTGTGCCTTGAGGTATCATCATCGAACTGACCAGCCCGAGGGTCAGGTCTGGTCTGTATTTCAACAGGTTCATGGGTGTTCCCACTCTGCTATTTTGGCTGGCACCGTCACCGCTTCACCGCCAAATCGACAGCGCCAGACAAAAGGAAACACGGAAAACACGACAAAATTCAGCGGCCCAGCTCAGGCCATATTGTGTTGTTTTTTTTTTTTGGGTCAGGCCATATTGAGGGCACCCTCAGACTGCGGTACCAAATCCGCATAATCCCCAAAATCCAGAAAAAATACTGTCGAGGGATAGTCACACAAATTTCCCAAACTACATATTCGTGACCCCATTTCGCATTCGCAGCCTGTCAGGGTTGAGTTTTCCCCCCCTGAAACATTTCAACGTCGTGGCCGTCGGGAGGGTGGGCATTTTGAGGTTTTGGGGCCTTGCAAGGGTCAGGACGGCGTAGGACTGGTAGCTGCCCGTAGGAGGCCGAGGAGGCCGTGGTCCTTAAAACACCAGTACCTGGCCCAGCTATCGAGTCCGAGCCTCGGCCGACCATCCCGAACGTTGACGTGAAAGGCACGAAAAAAACGGGAAAAAAAAAACAAAAAACAAAACAAAAACAAAACAAAACAAAAACAAAACAAAAACAAAACGAACGGGATCATTCCCGGAAATGCAAAGCGGGAATGAATCTTCCCGCTTTGGCAGAGAGAGAGAGAGAGAGAGAGAGAGAGAGAGAGAGAGAGAGAGGGGCGGCGACCTGCACGGAGGGTCTCTCTC